TATATATATATATATATATATATATATATCGTTGGTTTATTTATATAGAGGAGCGGGGCAGATATACCTAACTCCTTTTCTCTTTTTCTCTTGGCTAATAGAAGTAGGAGGCAGGCTCACAATCGCTTCCTTTTGCGAAGGAAACAAGTAAGGCCTTGACGGACTTATTCACACATTATTTCCCTTCTGCTGCTGCTGCTCTTTTTCTTCTTTGTGCACTGCTGCAGATACGAATTAACTGGGTGTGACCTTGTTGCATATTCTGCACTTTTTCTAAGCACCCTTTTTGCTGCTGCCTCCGCCCCACAATTCCCGGCCCCAGCGCGCGTCAGTCTACAGACAGCACAACTCGGCGACGAGCACACACAAACAATGAGAGAGAAATTGAATCATCTAAACAAAGAAACTCACTACTTGCGACTCGCACATTCTCAACAAGAAGGGTGACAGATCGCTTTCCGAGGCTAACACGGTTTCATGACCTTCCCTAGAAAACACATTTCCTTCAAGTCACCTCACCGATTGAAACAGCAGTACATGAAGAAGGGGGAGCACAAACAACAACAAAAGGGCAAGACACAAAGAAGAAGCGACACGAAATTAGCAGCCATTCAAACGCCTATACAAACACACATCGACAGAGACATATATATATGTATATATCTTTGCACTTCCGAGTGTCGGGAAGGAACGAAGAAGGGAATATAAGCCACGGAACGCTGAGACATTACAACAATATGAGAGGAATGGAACTGTTTTTTTTTTTTGCGTCGTCAATCTCTAAATAAAGAAAGGCAGCACTGGAGCATCATTAAAGGTCTTTTTTTCTTTGTGCTTCACAGAGGGAGGACATTACTCTCTTTTCTTCGTTGGGTTTGTACTATTTTTAGTCCACTCCCCCCAGCATTAAATTCTTTTCACAAACCGAGGGGTAATACGGCATGCCCTATGCAATAGTCCAAGCCATGCAAATTTAACATATTCTTTTCATCGCCCCAGCATTCTTTTTTTTTTTTTACTCTCCCTAGATTAAAGCACATTACCCTGCTAAACATTCGCTTGACTCATCAGCTCACTGACCGTTGGGCCTGAGGTCTTTTTCTCCTCACATATCCTCTGGGGGTGATGCAGCAACACCACATTTCCTACTTGGCACATAGAGATAAACATACAGTGGGCGAACAACAAGACGCAAGAGGTCGGGCACCAACATAACTCAAAATGAGGGGCTCGAGAGAAATAGCAAAAACCTCCACTCACCTCTGATCCTCAGCCTTGCGAGGAGAATATGGAGAACGCATCTCATTTGGGGACGCCTTTTCTGCCCCAGAGGCACCTTCGTTGAACGGCTCCTTGGTGCCTTTTTCCACCGCACTTCCGGACTGACCAACAAACATGAGTTCTTCCTGTTGACCACCAGCGTTAGCGTCATCAGATGTAGTTTTCGCTTGATTTTCCACGTACTGTTCAATGACCTTTCCGCCATACGCCTCTGAAACACATCCGAATAGATCAACGGCCTCCATAAACATATGTGAGAGCACTTTAATGACATCTTGGATAAACCACCACACGACGCAGTAGATCCACACCCACAACGGCAGAAGCCTTTCGCTATTCGTGTCACCCCACGCAAGGCCCTCCGTCAGGAGACCATCAGGCCTTGACTCGTGCCAGAACGAAGCCACCATAGACGACACAAACAGAGAGATAATCGCACCGATCAGAAGCACAAGACCAGGAACCATCGTGAAGAAGAACCGGCCTCCTGTTCGCGAAGAGAACAGTGTCAAGAAGTCGGAGATAGATATCTTAAGGTACAGCAGCGTCACCACCTTACCCTGCTTCA